ATTTCCCGCCTCCGGTTGCGCGCCTCCATCGGCGTTCCTCCGGTTCTCCTCCATCGGTTGCGTGCCTTAGTAACGGCGTTCCTCCGGCGGGAGACCACCACCTCCCCTCGAACTGGCATTGAGCCGCCAGTCCTTACCGGTCTCCTCCACGTCGTCAACACCAGTCACCTGGTCTGAACCCCGCAAAAGAAAGGGGGACCTTCTCCGTCGTAACCAACCTCAGTTCCCAGTCGTTCCAGGGGCAATTTCACATGGTACCCTCGAACAGACGGAATCTCATGCTAAGATTGGCACACAGCGAACACTTACCGTTCTCACGTTCTCACATTTCTATTAACTTTAGTTATTTCGTTTGGTTTCATGAAGTAGTTAACGCAATCACATTTGGTTTGCCACTTACGTGCTCCATTTTCAGATTAAGGTTAACCACAGTCAAGTTACTCACTCTCGGGTCCCCTACTACAATAATATTAATCAGAAGTTGCCTAGAATGCGGTGATGACGGCACTGAATCGATTATCATAATCGAAGAATCCATCTGAGCATTCTACTAAAACGACAGCATCTGAAGTTTCACTTTCACTTCCTCCCCCGCGATTTTGAAACAGTTATCTTTCTCTGGGTGCCTATTTAAGGGATCTATATTAATTAGTAGCAAATTAGCATAAGCGACAATCATGACTAACAGCATGCATTGCTTCCCCCGCTTTATAACGCTGCTAATCCGAGATGCTTCCCGCAGGCACTCCCAGAAATGGGCAGATCACGACGAGCTGGACGCTCAGTCCAGCTCCGACGGTTAGCGAGAGCGTACTCTACTCCTGGGGTCGAAGACCCCAGGATTTTCGACAGGCCCGTTGAGCCGCAGAAACCAGCCCTCCCGTTTCATCCTCCTTCTCCCCCGAACCCTCCGCTAGCCCCCGGGCACTCACACCTCCCACCACCGTACAGGCCTCCGGACCCTTGCCCGGCCAGAACGTGGGCTCCGCGCCCTCCCATTACCCCCGCGCCTAGGCCTCCAACGGCCAGCCTGGGCAGCGCGCCTCCTGGACCACCGGCGGACGCGACGAGGAGGCCACCGCAGGAACCAAGGTCCCTGCAACCGCGCCTGGCCCCTCGCCAAACTCGGCCCTGCGTCGTGAGGATTGAGGCCCTCCCCCAGAAGGTCCGGATCGTCCGACGGCCCAGGACCCAGCTCCGAGCCGCCAAGGACATGCCCTCACTGGGCTAAAGTTCCCCCTGTTCCTTCTCTCTCTCTCTCACCCTCCCCTCCTTATGTTTATAGACAATCGTTTCTCTTATAATATATAGTTTAGTTCCCCCCAAGATGTTCTGCTCATTCATTTAACCACCCACCCTGTTCTCTCATTTCCCTAGTCTCCCTGCAAGACACGCGTCCCCACGTAACAATGTTATAACTGATATATATGATGGATCTTTATACAGAAAATGGGTTTCTATCAAATCCTGATAATATATCTTTTAGTTGGTACACTGATGGAGTGCCAGTCTTCAAATCCTCAAAAATTAGTATGTGGCCTTTGTACTTGACTATCAACGAATTACCTTTTAATGAAAGGAAACAAAGAGAAAACACGTTACTTTTAGGCTTATGGTATGGAGATAAAAAGCCTAATGCAAATAGTTTTATTTATAAGTTCCGCGAAGCTTTGGAAGAAATTAGTAAAAGTATTCAAGTTCAAGTAACAAGAAATAATAATACAGAAATGAAAACTGTGAGAGGTGTACTGTTAATGGGAACTGCTGACCTACCAGCAAAAAGCGATTTTTAAATTTTGTTCTATTCAATGGGGAGTACGGTTGTCCATCGTGTTATTGTAAAGGTGAAAACATTTCGATTGTTCCAAGAGGTTCAGTACATGTTTATCGTTATGAAAATGAACTAAACTAAGATCTTTAAATGTATCAAATATGCTAACAGAGCAAGTCCCGATAATCCTGTCATGGGTATAAAGGGACATACTGCTTTTTCAAAGCTTATGCCAGATTTTATCGAAGGAATCGGGATTGATAAAATGCATTGCGTCGATGGCGGTGTCGTGAAAAAGATGTTATCGCTATGGTTTGACATTAAATTTCGATCTTTTCCTTTTTCTTTATACAAGTATGCTGTCATTGATGTTGTTAATAGAAGCTCATGACAATCAAGCCGCCGAAATATGTGCATCGTATGCCACGCTGTATACAAGATTTACTTCATTGGAAAGCGTCAGAATTAAAAATGTGGCTCTTTCATTATTCTATTCCAGTTCTCGAAGGAATTTTAAGACAAGATTATTTCAATCATTATCTTCTTCTTGTAGTAGCAATATCCATGCTAAATTCCGAACAAATCACGTTTTCTATATATGATAAATATTTCTCGAGATTTTTTAAAAAAATTTGTGCGTGAATTCGAACATTTGTATGGATTGCAATTTTGCTCGATTAATATCCATCAACTACTACACTTACCAGATAACGTTATAAAACTGGGGCCTTTGTGGGTTTTCTCCTGTTTTGAATATGAGAATCTGAATGGTCAGCTTTTAAAATTGGTGCATGGAACGTGGCATATTGAAACACAAATTGCGACAGCCCATGAACAGTTTATAAAAATGATTCGATTAATAGATGAAATGCCTAGAGGTCCTGTTTACACATTTTGTTTAAGCAAGAAACGACAAGTAAAAATTATAGAGCAAATATTACCAAACTGTTACAGTATTGGTATTTATAAAAAATTACAAAGATTACCAAACATTATTATCACTGCAATGTACAATTCAGGAATCCCCGAAACTGTCTCATTATGGCAGTATTGTAGATTATTAAAAAATGGCAATTTATATGTGTCGCAAATGTACAAAGCAGATTTGCAGACTGAATTCTATTGTACAGTATATAAATGATGGTCGAATATATCATGCAGAAATTCAGTGCTTTATCAAAACTGTTCATCAGAATTGCAATGAACAACTCTGTCAATGTGAACACACAGAAAAACATTATGCGATTGTACAAAAAATTGTGGCCGATAATGGATTCATTGTTCATGGTGATAATAACATAGCCGACACTAACTTCTTTTTACAAAAATGTCATAAAATAGATACTTTTGTTGCTATTTCTATTGAAACTTTAAAATGTATATGTGTATACATGAAGATTAATCATCAAATGTATATAGGAATGCCTATTAACCAAAAAGAATTGGAATAAAATATTTCTTAATATATTTATTGTGTCCATTTTATATTGTAACATTAATGGAACTAATCTGAAATAATAAAAATTATTCTCGATTTGTGAATCGAGTATTAATATTTTCAGTTTTAATTTTTATAGTTGGAAGATGCAATAAGATTTAGAGATTTAAAAGAGCTTACTACAGAGGTAGAAGTTGTAAGTACCAAAATAGGACGTGCATATCTAACGTCCTTAAATACAGATTCCGTAGCACAACGGAATTAAACATTGGCGCAAAGAAGGCGTTATCAAACTCAAGATAGAACTTGCATGCCAAGAAACATTATTGGAGACCTAAATAGCACGGACAAGGTTCAAAGTAGGTTTTAAATTTCGACTCGGGAAGTGTTTCTAAAGTGTCCTTGACGGCCTTTGCAACATGTGGTCGAGGGTTGTCGTGCTGAAAGATCACTTTGTCATGTCTTTGGGCATATTGGGGGCGATGGAGTTTTAATGCTCGGCTCAATTGCATCAATTGTTGTTAGTAACGTTCCCCAGTGATGATTTCGTTAGGGTGGAGTAGCTCATGGTAGATCACTCCGAACTGATCCCACCAGATGCACAGCATTAGCTTCTTGCCATGAATATTCGGTTTGACCGTTGAAGTTGATGCATGGCCGGACTTACCCCACGATTTTCTGCGCTTCGGATTGTCGTAGTGGATCCACTTTTCGTCCCACGTCACGATTCGATGCAAAAAACTCTTCCGATTATGCCTTTGCAGCAGTTGTTCGTACGTGAAAAAACGGCGTTCGACGTCTCTTGGCTTGAGTTCATACGGAACCCAATTTCCTTGTTTGTGCACCATACCCATGGCCTTGAGACGGTTTGAAATCGCTTGTTGAGTCACTCTCAAGGTTCCAGCGAGCTCCTCTTGACTTTGGCATGAATCTTGGTCCAACAACTCCTCCAACTCAGCGTCTTCAAACCTTACTGGCCTCCCTTCGCGTTCTTTGTCACTGGTGTCAAAATCGTCACTTTTAAAACGCCGGAACCAGTACTCGCATGTTTTTATTGATGGAGCATGTTCCCCATGAGCTTCATTCAGTAATCGATGTCCATCAGCTGCACTTTTCTTCACATGAAAACAAAAAAGCAGCGCTTCCCGCAAATTGTGTTTTGTTGGCACAAAGGTTGACATGGTTAGAGCACAAAGAAAGTATGTTGTTAACACTTCAGCGAAATCACACCCACTGATTTTTAGAGGGAAATGATGACGCTTTGACATGAAGTTTGTTACAAAAGTACCCGGTGCGGTTTGACACCAGTGTTACCATCTTTTGTAAATCCCTCAAAACTTATTTGTACACCTGATAGTTAAAATATGAAATTTATATACAGGGTGTCTCAGAATTCACGCATTCGGAATTCATAGCGTGATTATTCGTGCCAAAAAAAGTAACTTTTTCTTCTGGCAAAATTGCGTCTGAACATTACTTTTCAAATAAGAGTAACTTTAAGGCCATTCTACAATTGCGTAAACGTAGTTGTAGGGTTGTAGGAGTAGAAATAGTAGTAAGTGTTGTACATCAAAGTAATATACAATAGAGTGAGATACGTCGTAATTGAAATGAATGATTAGTTAGCTTTTACGTCCTGTATCGTTGTAGTCGTGGAAGATCAAGTTCAGCCATCTTTTACAACAGGCTTTACAATCGGAAATGCTAGTTTAAAACTGTGTTTTACAACACTGTACAACCGCTAACAACCACGTTTACGCAATTGTAGAATAGCCTTTAAGGTAACGAATAAGCGTTTTAGGTAACGCGTGAATCAGGAGCGGCACGTGCACGGCGTGCCAGCGCGTTTGAGCGTGTATGTTATTTTACTATTTTGATAAAAGTTTTTATAAAAACTATGCATGATATCTAAGTATCGTTATTTTGAACACATCTTATCTTAAAATGTGTATACAAATGGAAGGTCTGCATTTCGAGCATATGCTTTAAAAAACACTAAATCGGCCCTTTTCAGGGCCACAAATTTTTAGAACGTTGGAACAATAATTTCGGTTCACAATTATTCACGGCTTATCTAATCTTCTTATTTGACTTTCAATCGATGCTTCGGTAATGTTAATCGGTAATGTTAATAGCAATATATTCTCTTATTAAGATAAGATGTGTTCAAAATAATGATACTTAGGTATCATGCATAGTTTTTATAAAAACTTTTATCAAAATAGTAAAATAGCATACACGCTCAAACGCGCTGTCACGCCGTGCGCGTGCTGCTCCTGATTCACGCGTTATCTAAAGCGCTTATTCCTTACCTTAAAGTTGCTCTTATTTGAAAAGTAACGTTCAGACAAAATTTTGTCACGCCGTGCGCGTGCTGCTCCTGATTCACGCGTTATCTAAAGCGCTTATTCATTATCTTGTAACGGAGGCAGCCGGGGAGGCGCGGCCGGTAGCATAAAACCGAAATTCCGGGAGCGAGAGAGAAGGAAATAGGGCCGCGGCCGTAAAAGAGAGAACGCACTACCGGGTGCGAGTGAGCGATAGGAATGGGCGATGTTCGAAAAAAATATCGATGTTAAAATAATCGATTAGTTTAAAAATCGAAAATTGAACATCGATGCTTTTTAAAAAATATCGAAGTATCGAATACTTTTTTAATAGGGCTGCTTTTGGAAACATCACCCCGAGCATAATTCTTTCTATATCACTTTTATCTCAGTGATATAGAAAAAGAGAAAATGCACTTCGATAACATTTCCTAGAATGTAACCTAGAAAATGCATATACAGGTAAAAAAATATTACACTATCTTTCTTATATACTTGTAATTCCTTCAAAATCACGCTTAACTTTTTATTTAAGTTTTACTAAAAAATATATTTAAATCAAAATCGTACATTTAATGTTAACTTCGGAGAATATTGATGAATTTCCCTCAAGTAGAAATAGTATTTTGCGGGTTCTTGAGCAACAAGTGTAACAGGATTGACTTCGTGACTAGAAAAAAGTTTTTATTAAATCTACAGAGAATGGAATATTCTAAGAATAGATATACATAAGCAACATAAGCTTAAAAATATCATGCGTACATTATAAAAAGTCGCTCTACCTGCAATAGTAAATAGATACAAAAGGGTTAAGATGATAAAGAAAAGTATAGATGGAATATTTGGATTAGATAATTTTTTTAATCTAAGAACACATGAGAATGAAGAACAATTAATAAGTCACAAGAATATAACACAAATGCACTTAAGTTTAACATAAAATAATGAAGAACACATAAGTAGGATTTACAAAACACATGCGAGAATCAATCACCTTAATTTAGTAACGTGAGCAGTACGTGAACAACAGTACGTGAGCAAAACACGGTAGTTTAGTAACAAGATATCCTAATAATTTTATTAAATTATTTATTATAATTTAATAAAATTATTAGGATATCTCACATTTTGCTTAAATTAATCCCCAATCCTCGCGAGAGAGGCATCCAAGAAAAAGCAATTGATTTAAATGCTCACCCGAAAGTCTACTGCGATTTTCCACTTTAATTGCTCCCGCTCTGGAAAATAATCGCTCGGATGGAACAGACGTTGCGACGACGCTTAGATATTTCATGGCTAATTTATATAGTGATGGATACGCTGATTTGACAGTTTCCTAGTGTTTCAAAGGATTTTCGTAGCGTGAAATTACTGGTTGATTAAGATACTGTCGTAATTCAAGATTGAGACCTTCTTTGTCGTTGCTTATCGAATCAATATTTTTAGTCACCATTTCATCGTGATATTCCCATATACTTGATTCATTATTTGATGATCTTGTCGGAACCCTATTGGGCATTTCAGAAACTGTATTGGGTTTCATTAAGGTGTTAATTCTTGTAATTGCTGAGGATGCTGCCAGTGCAGATTGAAAATGTAGTTTCTTGAATCGCGGATCCAACATAGTTGAGATTGCAAGGATTGGATTAAATTCCAAATCTTTAAACTTTTGCTCTGTTAGCGCCAGAAGATGATTCTTAAACTGTATACTTGTTTCCGTCACATTGTTATCGACTTCCAATTGTTTTGGTTCCCAAGAGCATATTGCTACTTGCATACAATGTATTATTGGTATAATGACACTCGTCGTTGGATATGAATCGCCGCTTATTTCCGTAATGACCCTTTCGACAGGTGTGAGCAAGCTAATAAGATTCTTCAATAGTTGAATTTCATAACGTGTTAGCATCTCTGGAATATTTCGACATTTGAGAGTTACAGGATAAACATATTCCTCGAGAATGAGGAATCTCTCCAGCATGTATAAAGTTGAATTCCATCGAGTTGGAACGTCTTGGATGAATTTGAGAGCTGTTGATGCAGTTTTTCCGTCGCGAACTTGTAATCGTTTTAATTCATCCGAAGCTACGACACTTCTTTTTACCAAAGTGACAATATTTCTCACTTTTGTAATAGAATTAGAAGTCATCACATCGGGAATCAAATGTGACAGTACGTGAGCAAAACACGCTAAGTGCTTGGCTCGACCAAACGAATCGTACACAGCTCTTTTTATATTTGCTGCACTATCAGAGACAATGGCTGTCGCGTTCTCTCGATTTAATTCGAAGGAATCGAGTATGGAAAGTAGAATTTCTGATAGATATGTAGCTGTATGACTTTCATGTAATGGTTCCACTGCCAAACATCTATTCTTCAGTATTCCGTTGGGCATCGCATAATGAATTGTTATTCCAATGTAACTTTGATTGCTTACGTCCGTCCAATTATCGCAGGTTATTGTGTATGATGTAACTTCTTTGAGATGTACCTTGACATCCTTCTTGAGCATTTCATATTTCATAGTCATTAGTTTTGTGATTGTCTTCCTACTAGGAAGATTATATAATGGAACTGCTGTTTTTATCAGTAGCTTAAAACCATCATTTTCGACTATTGATAGAGGTGCATTATCAACAGCAATCATATATAATACTGCGTTTGTTAGTCGATCAGCCATTGAGCCGCCGTCTACAAAATCATAAAATTGAAACCATTTTAAATTTATATTTGAATTTAGTTATCTAAATTTATTAGTATGAGTTGAATTTTTACTAACTTGCAAAAGGGACTTAGTTAGGTGGAGTGTGAGAGAGCGCATGTACAGGGTGTTATGTAATACCCGCATCAACGCTTATTGTGGGATAGAGTGAACTAGACTAAGTCGAAAAGTCCTGTACCACTTTGCAGGTTTTGCAATAGTTAACGATTTTTAATAATTAATAACTCGTTAACTATTGCAAAACCTGCAAAGTGGTACAGGACTTTTCGACTTAGTCTAGTCCACTCTATCCCACAATAAGCGTTGATGCGGGTATTACATAACACCCTGTATATGCGAGAGCGGTGATACAAGGTGGTACAAGCGAGGTACAAGGCGGAATAAAGCATTAGAGTCGCATAGATATAGAATAGAGATTAGTAGGAGGAAGGCGAAAGTGCATAGAAGAAGGGAGATTGGAGGCAAGTGGGATAGCGGAAAGAATAGGAGACTGCAAAGCCCGGAAGAACGAACGGGAAAGTTGAGATTGTGGCGGAAAGAGGTAGTGGTAAGATAGGTAAGGTAGACAAGGAAGGAAAAAGCAAGGATGATTGTGGCGGCCGTAGGCGCCCCTACGGAACGGCAACACGGCCACCACAATACAACTCGCGACCGCGCGCGCGACGCGCGCGAAAACATTCAATCCGAGGGAGACACCCCCGGAGCAAAACTCCACGAGACACCGCTAGAAGCCGCATGAAAACAATAACATACTCGGAATTGAAAAACGGTGAACTACAGTATAAAAGGGAGCGGAGATAAGCCAACTCTGCGAATCGACTCCAAAGATAATTCACAGGACGTATCGAGGACTCATGCGCACCAGCAAGCCGAGAGCGGTAGTTACGCCGAGGAGACAGCCCCGAGCAGAGTTAGCGGACGGAGCACCAACCGACGCCGAGCCGAGCACAGAGGATCTTCCGGGAGTTACCAGCGAGATCTCGCCCCTCGACGGAGGACCGAAGCAGTCGGCGGAGCTAGCAGAGAGCGGCGGAGCGGCTGAACCTGCAGCGAGCGGAGCAACAGTAGAACGCACGGCGAGCGGAGCGGCGCCTTCAAAACCAGCGCCAGCTAAAGCCTCGCCTCGACGCGGCCGACCACGCTTACCCTGCATAGAGTACAGGCCGTGGAAACTACATAAGATCGAGCTGCCGCCTCCTCGCTTAACGAGACCGCCACGGATATTCATCAGCCCGTGGGATCTACGTGTAAGGCGCTTCACCAGCCCACGCTACATCCAAGCGCGCCTGTTCTCACCGATCTCTCCGTTGCCACCGTCACCGCGATCTCCACCACGCACGGTACGGTGTCAAACGACGCAGACTTCGACCACTGAAGTACGCACGCAAGGCACGCAAACCAGAGGCTGGACTACTAGCGAGTCGGACTCAGAGCCTGAACCGGAGTGCCCATACGGCCCCATCAGGGTGACCGTAACGGCCCCTCACATATCCTACCGAGAGCGCAATCTAAGTTACCGCGCTTCTCGGTAGCTATATATTTTGCCACGCGCCGCAAGGCGCACAAACTCGACCTAAAGCAAACGCTGTATATACTTGTACATATCTGTAAATATATTTATATTCACATATTCTACTCTCGTCAATAACGGACCTCACTACTGCGATCCTCCACCAGCGAGCGAACAATTCCTACTGCGCAAACGACAACGGGCAAACAAGCCCCCATAATGATAAACAAAGGAAACTGACAGAGGAAGGAGACAAGGGGAAGAGAGTAACTTTGGT